CCCTTCCTCCTAATCCCTCTCAAGACAACACATCCCCTTCAACTCTAATTATCATCCTTCCGATATCCATCCTCCTACCACTAATATTCCCCCCACACCACTTCCTCCTACTCCCTTCCAACACAACCCACCCCCTTCAACTCCATTTATACGCACATACTCCCTCCCTCCATCCCCTCTATCCTTTCCACTCCCTCCCGGATACACACGGGAATCGCTCATGTCACAACAATGCCCTTCCCCAGATTCCCTACCTCCTGATACTCCTCCTTTACACCTCCTAGCTCCCCCCCCCCCCAGATTCCCCAACACGCACCGGCGTTTTCACTCATAAAATAACAGATATAGCTCTCCTACATTGGAATATTCGCGGTTTCTGTTTTCACAGACCAAACCCACGTCATATCATTGCTTCTTATAACAACCTGTTCTCCTTTCTCAGACGCATCAATATCCTTCACTTGATCTAATTCTCTTACTTAAACCACCATAACCCTTTCCCTCATTAACTCCCTTACCCATCTTCAACTTTCCAACATTACTCTAGATAGTTGACGCATAGCAACTATCACCTGACATCACCCTTTACTATACCTTCCTGTAGTGCTATGTGACCTTAGATGTCTAGCACATTTATTTCGCTTCTAACCATTAACCATCAACCATTAATTATTCATCATTCAACCATACCAGCTACCTTGTTACCTCATATTTCAACTGAAATATACTCCCAGATATCTAGCTGAATATGTTTTAAGATGCATAATTACATTTGGGTTCATGCCAAATGCTCCAAATGTATCGTATTTGTTTAAATGGAGTTGTACCTAAGATTTGAAAGATAACCAATGCCATGTAGTCACATATTTCTGCTGTCCCAGTAGACTTGTACTAAATGGTACTAAATGGGTCAAGAGTTGATAAGGATGCCGGAAGAATTATGAATAGTCACTTAGACCCACGGGATCACACAAATTATAAAGAGGACTTGAAATATATAAACCTTACAAAATTGGAGAAAAGATGAGAGCAAGATGACATGAATTTAAAGTATTACATGCCGTATTGGGTACGGAATAAAGTTTTAAGAGGATCTATGCACCGAAAAGATTGTATGAAGTCGTATTATTGTTAATTATTAGTAATAAAGAAACATTTATTTGAAATGTCTTTAATTCTTTATTTCATCTTTGTTACAACTGGATGAACTTTTAGACCACTCTGAGCTCTCTTCAGCAATATATATTTTTTCTCTTTGTGGCCCTGCTTCATCTAGTATTTTCACCATTGTCCATAGTAAATCTGCTATCAGGAATATACTGGGACCCACTTTCCTTGAGGCCCTCTGCACAATATTTTGTTCAATATTTAATCCAAGTATTATGCATGCCTTGATAATCTCCCCATCTTAACATATAGAAAATCTTTTGGTCTTGAGATATTGGAAATATCCAGTTTTTCTTTTGATATTTTAAGTACACTTGTGCCGTTGGTTTTATTTGCAAAAAGCATACTCAGCACTAATGACAGTAAGACTTTTTTTTATACTTTCGTATAAAAGGTAATTTCATCAGGCTTACATAAAAGGCAGTGAAGCCTAAACAGTTGCTATCAGTTATTGTGATTTTCAGTCAACTACTTGGTATTTTCTTATCCAAAATCCTATGGGAAAGGTAAATTTATTCTATTTTAGGACTTTTTGTTGTAATTCATTACCCAATATTTCAGATTGTGGATGCCCAGAATGTCTTAGTTGTGGTCTCAAGATGGTTTGGGGGCATCTTACTGGGGCCAGACAGATTCAAGCATATAAATAATGCTACAAGGCAGATACTTGAAAGCTGTGGATATATAAAGCATCAAGAGAGCAGTAAAAGAAATAAAAAAACGAAGTAGCACATTGTTTTTGATTGTATCCTTTATATATTTTGGTTATCAGTAAGACACTTACCCTGTTTAACAGTTATATATATTTTCCATACCTAAAGATTAGAAAAAAAAGTGTCGGTTCGATGTCTATCAGTGTGTGTGTGTTTGTGTTTGTATTACACGCATACACAAAAAAATATCCATTTTTTACTTTCTTATTTATGAAAAAAAATCATTTTTTACTTGTATTTTTTAGTATTAAGATTTCCTTTGTTTAACAGCTTCAAAGTGACTTAAAGTATTTTTAGCGTTAAGTCGGAGGCAATGTTGCCCCCGGTTAAGACAACTGAGGAATGAATCCCCAGAAGATATTGCATGTACTTGAAACGTACATCATATCCAAAAATTACATGGCAATGAAAACATAATGGGTGGTTACCCTTGATGAACAAGGTAAGAACGCACTAACACACAGGCAGGCTTATAAAAACGTTAGTGCTTGCACACACACACGCAGACAGTCAAATCCAGACATAGACACATAGACATGCATATGTATAGGCTGGCACACAGGCTATGAGTTCTTCGATGTTATCTTTTTCCATCTCTCCCAGGTACTTATACCATATATATTACAAACATAAATGTGTTACCAGTATGTTGATTTAGTTGAAAGAGAGAGAGAAAAAATACTGATAGAGTTCTTGGGCTAATCCTCGTGTTCAGTGCGCCATATACGGTGTCAGGTAGGGCTGGAATGCTACGGAAATTCGTCTGCTCTACGGAAACAAAAGACGACCGAGGGACGTCACAACGATTATTTTTCCTAATGCCATAATTTTGTTATTTTGTATGACTACAGATGTTTTGATGCAAAAGAAAGGTGTATAAAACAATAATGAAGTAATTTAAGTTGACATAAATTGAACATGAAAATTGCTGAAACCATCCTGATATGAATTAATGTGATGAAGCAAAGTTGGCGTCGTTGTGGCGGAAATTTCATCCCATGTCATTTCAGAGAGACTTTAAACATTCAGCCCTGCAACACACTCACTTTGAATAGCATACTTTTTAAAGAAATCAAGTCTACAGGTTCAGTGTCAGATTTTCTTAACATACATCTAATACATTTTCTATAAAGAGATGCGGGTGCATTTTATGTTGTTGAATATTATATTACATTACTGGCTTGGTAAGGCATATATTGTACATTGTTTTTGGCAGGGCAAAACGTAAAAAAGTTACGCAGGGAATCTTAAAATCACTGTCTTCTTTATCATATGAAGTTTTGAGAAGGGCAGAAATGCTGCTACGGAAAAGTAGACAGCCCTGGTACAGGGCGAGATTTTCGCTTATAAATAAATCGACCAGTTCTTGAGTTTACTAGCTGCTTCATCGCATTAAGTCGAGGTTTCGATTACCTAGAATTTATAGGAAGGTGATCTAGGGGAAGTGTACCTATATTGGACCACCTAACTTCTATGTCCTATTTCTCCAGTATTACAAATGGGAATGAGATGCAATTAGTATGTAGCCATGAGGTACTCCAATGCCTTCCCGAATGCCAGAGTTGGTTACTTTTTCCATAATACTCAAAAATGATTTTAGCTTCACTGGTCCAATTTAGGGTATGTAGGACTTTAACTGGACCACATGGTTACCGATATTGGACCAGGCGGTCCAATATCGGGACGCGTGGTCCAACATACGATAGGGTTAATATCCAACTGATTTGATTTTAGGAACGGCTGGTGACACAGACATTTGAAAACACTTTTATTAGAAATTCAACCTTGAACTGTGGCAACAACAAGTACAGTCAAACCCTGTTATAACAGGTATTCTACTAGCATATCCTCCAGTTGTGCAGGCAGAGTGCACGGGCGACCGAAACACTTCTTTGTACCATTAGCATATTTGTTCTTGTCTTCAAGATGACTTTTTAGTGTCGCCTTGGGTACCCCGTATGTACAACTTATAGCATTTAGTCCCGCGTCTCCGTTCCTGAACGACATAATCGCCCTTTCCATGTCTTCACTCCACTTCCCATATTTTCCCCTGAAAGATAATTTTGCCTTATAATTGGAAAATCATAAATTTCAATAAGTATTCTTCTCTTTCGCTCGTCTTAAAAGCTTGAAAGAATGCTAAACTGAAATTATCCTAGATCACAGAATATAGCACCAGTCTAATGCCTATATAGGCTTACCGGTACTCTAAATGAAAATTCCTGTTATCCCTTGTCATTTCCAGTCAGCATCTGACCTTATATGGATGGACCCAAAGCTCAAGCTCACGTGTTCCTTATATTGGCCTGCTTGTGCCTTATATTGGACCAGCGTGCCCTATATTGGACCACTGGTCCAATATGAGGCACCCCGACTGGTCCAATTTACGTCAAGGTCAAGTCTAAAAGTTCCCGGTGTAAAAGCTCGGAGGGTGCGAGAACTTTCATTCCAGATGCGATAATTTTATCCAAAACTGACCACCTATCAACTTGTTGTTCTGCACATTTCTCTATTCACGGCCTCCTGCCACACTCTTTAAATTCGTCAGTTTTTATAAGGAAGGGGGTAGAAAATGTTTTTCTCGCCTTTTTATGTGAAATTCCCGCACTAAAACTTCTTGGTGTCGGCCATGATGGACTTAGTTTATAAGCAGTCCGCTAGATGTCGCCACTGTCTGAAAGCACTACCCAGTGTGGAGAAACGCTGGTGGTCCAATATTGGGACCGGTCCAATATAGGTACACTTCCCCTACTTTCCACATTTGTTATACATGTTTGTTCTTGGATCACTGAAATATTTCTCATATCTCTCACCATAAGAAGGAGAGGCTTAAAGAAGGAATGCACAAATAATTTAGAGGTAGAAAAACCCACAGTGTATAAATGAGATTTATTAAAAATGAGACAGTTTACAAATCCTCATGGATTTCATCTTGCAAGACCTGGCTTGAACATATGTTGATATTGTTTAGAAATAGCATATCAGATACTGATGAAAAAAAAAATCCATGACAAGGGTAGATTTATCAGGTGAACACTGACGTCATGCGAAGAACTTAATATTAATAATAAGATATTATCCGAGAACTTCTGGTAGTTAATATTATTATATTCTTTTCAGATTGTGGGTGCACAGAATGTCCTAGTTGTGGTCACTAGGTGGTATGGGGGCATCCATCTGGGGCCTGACAGGTTCAGGCATATAAACAACGCTGCAAGACAGATCCTTGAAAATTGTGGTTATATAATACATCAAGAGAGTACCAAGAAAAATAAAAGAAAATAGCACATTGTGTTTGATTGCAACCTTTTTGTATTTCTGCTGAAGGTATAACGGAAAGCAGTCAAAAACATCTCTTGCACTGTGAAGTTCATTTTCATTCATACCTTTTCTAAATTTATATTTTTGATTACACAGACCAAGCTGACTCCCAATGCAAGGCGATTTAGGATCATAACTAGTAGTCCTATGATGCATCTCGTGTTATTGTTATATGGGGGGAAATATTGGTCTTTAGTAGTAACATCGAATAAGTCCTATGCACCTTTATTAAGTTTGGACAGAAAGCTTAATCCAGAATCCTCGATCATTCTTGTGACAACATTGTGATGCTACCTTGACCATATGTTTGAAAATACACCGTTAACGATGAAAATTTAACATCAGTAAACTGTTACTTCAAATTGATTAATTTTTTAGTGATTATCCTTGACGTACATGCGCATCGCATCACAACAGTGATGAACCATATACTATCGAAAGAAAGAAAAAAGTACTAAAGCATAAGGTCCTCATTTCTTAAAGAAAATAAGACTAGTAAGATTACCTTTGACCTCTAATGTTCACGATTAATTTCTGCTGGTGAATAAGTGCTGGAGTACTTTTAATAGGGACAGAAATTCATTTTCATGACAATATGTGTAAATTTGTATACATTTCAAAAGGGGGAGCAATGTTACACTGGCTCCTCCTAGGGAGGAAAGCCTTCTAATGACGCTTGTTAGAAATGAAGTGGAAAATCTGAAAAAAATGTATGATATAAATACAATCATTTTGACAAAGAAAAGGGGGTATTTTTCTGATTTTGTCGATTGTCTCAAATTACTAATGAGCTAGAGCACGGCTACCAAAAATGAAGGCCAGATGTATCGCACTTGAAGTTGCACTATCCGCAACCTGAAGGTCCGCATACTTTCTAGGGTAGCCATCAGGTTAATTGCCTTCTCTTCGCTCACTCACCAGCAGGTACTTCTCGCGACTCACTCCTGAGACCTGAGACCTCTCTCATTGGACCACTTGGACTATTTGGACCTCAGAATCCGGAACGAGATCCACCAGAAAGGTGGCACACGCAGAAGAACAAAGTATTCCCCCTAAACAATTTCAACAAACGAAGAGGTAAACCTGAAAGCTGAATATGAGACTATAATACAACAATCAGAGAGACAAGGCTGGAATGAACAAACAAGACGATCAAGACTAATGCAAATTGCCATTATAGAACACACAAAAGCATTGTTCCATGAAAATTTGGGGAAAAACATAATGAAAGACCTGGTAAAACACTTGAAAGGCAAAGCAACTTTCTGGAGTACAATAACATTCACTGTCCTTATGTGTATGATGCCCAAAACAAAGTATTTGAAAATGAAAGTAAACAGCTCCACAGCACATACTGGTAAAAAATCATCAAATTATTAGACGAAGAGAATTGACTGGGAATACGAGCAAGTAATCTTAAGAGACCTTGATAAGGTCCCAGACAAAATAATTCCACACCCCAGCATCACAGTCAATGAGATGAAAACAGTAATCAGTGACAAAAATGAACAAATCTCGAGGAAAAGCAAAATTAACTAAAACGCCCTTATTCACCTCCCTGACAACATGATTAAGAAAACAATACATCTTCACTGCCAGCCTAACTGCTGGCTATTTCCTAGAACAATTCAAACAAGTAATCGTCTACTTCATTGGAGAATTTTTAACCAATATCCCTCCTAAAAATTCCTGGCAAAATATTTGAAATGATTGCAAACCAAAGACTATAGAATACTTGGCGGAACAAAATCAAATAAATGTAAACCAATACAGATTCCCAAAAGGAAAGACAAAGAAAAAGCCTTTGATAAAGTCTGACATGAGGTGTTATGACACTTACACATAGACACACGATTGCCAGACTTCTTTACAAAACACTAGGCAGCTTTCTGAACGAAAGGAAAGCCGTAATAAGACTGAGGAACCCAATAAATCAACTTGGAGTTCCACAAGGTAGTGTATTGTTTCCCACACTATACATACTTTATACATACACCTCTCCTCAATCACCACCAACACAACACCATAATTACACAACATATGGATATAACACAAATAATAACACACCCTAGCAAATCGAAAATAATGACTCAACGTCATAAAAATATCAGTTAATTTGAAAACCGCTGGAATATCAAAACTATCACCACAAAGTTCAAATGTTTCAGCCACTCACAATCAACAACACCGACAGACCATTCTCACAGCAAAGAAACATGCTTGGTCTCCGTATACCGAAAAGGAGAATTGCCAAACATGTTAAAGAAAGAGTAAGAGCTGCAAATACGCAGCTTACGAA